TAGATATGTGGGGGCGTGTTAGAACGAGGCGTTTTAGGTAGGCGTGGCTGACTCTCAACTTTTATAAAGAATATCTCTTTGGATTTGAGACTTTAGTCTTTGCAACTTTACAGATCTTCTTTATATTAAGAGCTTGTAACACTTCAAAGAGAAAGGAAAAATTGAAATCGCATCATATGACCCTTTTAATTAGTTTTGGTTTTAGTAATTTCAGTACTCCAACTTAAAATGATAAGTTATTTTTTATTTAATATTAATATTTTATTTCAGCTTTATTTAGTACATTTTTCATAATTTTAGTTAACAATAACAACATTGTTGAAAACTCACCGTTAGTTTCTCTGTGCTGATCCAGCCATTCTCAGGAAACTTGACGTCAAACTTGATGTACAGATCTCCTTTCTCAAAGGGGTTTCTGTACTGAGGCATTCCTTCCCCTCGGATGACCCTTATAGAACCTGACAACGAGAACACAACATTTCCTACAGCATATTCTACAAAAACATGAACAGAACATTGACAAACCATTATGCTTACCTGGCTCTATGACTTTGCCAGGGGGATATTTGATGACGAGATGTCGTCCGTCAAGGTGCGTGAGCATGAACTGAAATCCACACAGCGCCTCCACCAGACCAATCCTGTGGGACATGTGCAGATCGTTTCCATCACGACGGAACTCCTGTAAACAAAGACATCATAAGGTATTTGAGCTTTAAAAGAAAAGAAAAGAAAAACACATTTTAATGTTATTATTCTTATAATGCAAACATTTTCATTCTGCAAGACAGCACATCTTAACTGCCTGAAAGTGATTAAATGCTGTGTGGCGAGGGGGGCGTGGTTCAGCGAGGTCTGCATCGAGAGAGAGAGGCAGGAGACGAGCGGTGCGTAAGTAGGTCAAGCGCAAATGATAAACACCTGTGTCTTGTTTCAGTAATTGGTGTGGAGAGACCGGACCTTGACCCACTTCCTGCCACTAGGGCGGCGGGGAGGCCTGGGCCGGCCTGCTGGCGTTGCGGGGACCCAGGTCATTTTATTGATCGGTGTCCAGGGATGGAGGTGGGGACGCTGATCCGGGTCCCGGACGCCCCGCAGGCTGCCCCCGATCAAGCTGGCCTGTACCAGATACCTGTGAGTATTAGGGGGGGTACATATCAGGCTTTGGTGGATTCGGGATGCAACCAAACCTCAATGCATCAAAGCCTGATTCAGCCGGAGGCATTGGATAAGAGCCGCATGGTTAAGGTTCGGTGTGTGCACGGGGACGTGGTGAACTACCCCTTAATGTCGGTGGCTATTCAATTTCGGGGACAAAAGCATAGAGTAGAGGTGGCGGTTAGCCCGCACCTCAGGCATCCGCTAATTTTGGGGACAAATTGGCCAGGGTTTAAAGCATTATTGGGGCATCTATGTGCGGGTGTCTCTTGGGAGGAAAGAGCGCGGCAGACGGGGGCGGTCGCGCAGGTGGGAGAAGCTGAGCTGGGACCAAGGGGGACTGAGCCAGGGGAACGGAGCGCGGTTGAGAGGGGTACCCTCGCGAAGTGCGATGATTTTCCCCGGGAGCAGTCCCAGGATGAGTCGCTCAAAAATGCTTTCGAACAGGTCCGTTCCATTGACGGACAGCTTCTCCAACCCGCTCGACCGCTCTCCTATCCGTATTTCGCTATTTTAAAAGACCGGTTGTATCGAGTGACCCAAGACACAGTCAAAACAGGATACAACCCAATTGTTAGTACCAAAAAGCTCACTGTAATCCAATGGCCGGACATTTGGGGCAAGCAGCGACACTGAATCGGCTAATGCCCCGATTTTTCTGGCCGGGCATTCACGAGAACGTGCGCAGGTGGTGCGCATCTTGTCGTGAATGCCAGCTGGTGAACGAGCGCCGTATTGTGTGCGGTGCAAGAGAAATTTAAATAAAGCTCGCGTCCCAGCAAGCCGACCCTGCCTTCTTCCTTCCACACTCTTGAACCTTTACTACATGCTGCTTGCTTTAATATACTTAAAGGGATCGTTCACCCCAAAATTCACCCATTCATCAAAATAATATTCTTGATTCAACATAAAATGTAAGTAAATTAATTATAAATTGAATGAATTAGAACTGAAACTTGAAATCCTGTATGCAACATAAGTAATGACGCTTTTTTGAATAGTAATTTTAACAGGATTAAATTTACATTTAAACATTTCACATTATTTCGGATTATTAAAAATATAAAAACTTTTTCAAAATTACAAATACTTAATATATATATTCAAATTTAAATTACAAAATAATAAATTATTATTAATAATAATACTACATGTATAAATTTAATTCCAACCTTTATATTTTGGACCGTTTTTGTACAGATTACTATAAAATATATTGATAGATTTCAGTGTGCACATTATCTATGGAAGAACATTGGGCAAAATAACCAATACATTAACAGATAATCAACATAGTTGTTGATTAGAGTCCTACTATTGACTCTACACTGCTCATTGTGTGTGTGTGTGTTACCTCATGATCTTTCTCCTGCAGCACCAGTATAATGTCTCCAGGCTCTGTGTTGGGCGACTGGTCCGCCTCTCCGCTGAATGTGATCTTCTGTCCGTGTTTCATTCCTTTATCCACATGCACCTCCAAGACCTTTACCTCTTTACACACTTTACGGCCCTCACACTCTTTACAGCGGTCTTTCTCGTGGATCACTTCCCCTAAAAACACAACCAAGCATCGAAATGTTGTATTCAGACCATCACAAATCGAGTTCACTGAATGAAAATGAATTCTCACCCTCTCCATTGCAGTCGGTGCACACAGACTGCATCTGCTGTACCATGCCAGGAGCCAGCTGTCTGATCATGATCCGCATGCCGCGGCCCCGACATGTGGCACACTTCTGCACGGCCCCCGTTTTACCCCCTTGACTGAGGAATAAAGTTAGGTTTATTTAGGAAAAAAAGGCTATTTTATCTGCTTCGTCATGCCTGGAGCTGATCCGTGCTGGTTGCTGAGGAAATACAACAACTCACCGGATCGGCTTTCACAGTGGACGAAGCGGAGTCCAGTACGGGGTCGTCACATGTGGTTGCCGCAAGCACTCCGGACGCTCCTTCGTCGAATCCGCCGGCCGCGCCGTTCTCAAGCCCGCCACCTCTGCTCATTCTAGCCCTCCGGCCTCTGCTCACTCTAGGCCGCTGCCGCTCACTCTAGGCCGTCGTGTGTGATGCTGTGTTTCGTTGTGAAAGCGAAACTACTTCGTTTGGTCTTCCAAAAGAGGACGATATCTGCTTCGTCATGCCTGGAGCTGATCCGTGCTGGTTGCTGAGGAAATACAACAACTCACCGGATCGGCTTTCACAGTGGACGAAGCGGAGTCCAGTACGGGGTCGCCACATGTGG